ATAAAGTGGACTAATATTGGCCAAGTTTTGGGTTGTTTTTTAATGACTGCTTAAAAGCAGCAGCTTTCAAAATAGTTTTTTTCACTTGTGAATTCTGCAGGGATCACAGAGGTGCTTTGGCATGATTCTGAGAGCGGGTGTTTATGCAGAGGTGGGGTGGCAGTGCCAGAGCCTGCCAGACACCCTGTTTCAGTCAGGATGGGTAGCAAGCTCTGCTCCTGCCCATCTGTGGGAATAGGAACAGCCCGCCTGGCAGCAAGGCTGCCTTGTTCCAGCAGCACAAGGGGAATAGTGGCAGCATGGTAGGAATTCCCATAGGCAGAGGCACTGTTGCTGCCCAGCAGAATTAAGGCATCAGGTAACTGGGCTTGCCCTCTCGCAGCACTGCCTTTCCTCCAGCTGCAGCTGGCCCCCTCTGTGGGATTTCATTCCCTGCCTGCCTGTCCAGAGTAGCAAACACCCATCACGGGGTGAGGAGGGGTAGCACATGTCTGTGTGTTGAATGCACGGCATTTCTTATGGAAGGGGAACAAGCGTACCCGGAAAGGCCTTCCCTCTCTGGCCCCTTCCTTAGTGTATAGGGCACATTGTCCAAAATGCATCCCAAGGGACTCCTCTCCCAGCTTTATGCCCTGTGGTGGCAGCATGGCTCTCTTGGATCCAGTTTTGTGTTAGCACGTTCACTGTATCAGAAACTGCTCTCAAGTGTACCAGTGACATTCCTGTGTGCTGAATAACTTGAGGTTTTTTCTAAAGACATGCAAGAGCCTGCTCAAAGATGCTATTGCTTCCTGTCCTGGATCAGCACTTCTTTCAAAACATGAAAGATGAAAGTCTATGCTAGTTAGTAACCTAACAACCTAACTTATTTTCTTACACCATCTGAAGAGTGCAGCTCCTTTTGCTTTCACTGTAAGCTTGCTGTAATTAAAATAAACCCCGATATATCAGCTAAATTCAGTATCTATGGTTAAAAACCAAAAATGATGAAACATTGACGGTCTTTGTCAAGCCATGAGACAGACTGCAAAGCAAGCTGTACAAGCATAATCCATGGCACAAGGTAAAAACTTAAGTCAGTGAAGTTGAAGACATTCAAGCCAACAATCAACTTGCCCAAACAATCCAGAAATTCCAATTGATTCTTTAGCTCCCCCCACCCCTTCCCCACAAGACAGAAAATTCAAGAAACAAAATTTTATTTCAAATAATTTCAGAAATGCCCAAAGATGGTAAATTTTCCCCATGCTTTGCTGACATCATCAACCAGTTCAGTTCTTTTAGAAAGGTGGAGAACAGATTCGTCTGAGAAATTTTTGGTTGAGACCACGACTGTGAACATTGAATTGACTTGCTCAGAATTCCATGAAAGGAACTGAATATTCAGTCTGTATTATCTAGAATTCTCTCTGAACATGTGCTTTCTTTTAATTTTCAAATGAAGTGGTACTACCCCATCAATTTAACATCCACTTTAATAAATTTCATGTTTAATGTGGTAAGCCTTCCAAAAACTTGCTAATTTATTGCTTTCTGTACAATTTAAATGGATGTAAATAACTAATCTTGGACACAGTATACTCAACATTTTTTAATGAAGTGCTCAAGAACAGGTTAAGCACTGTAATAAAATTTCCCTTTTTTTTTTTAAGCCAGCACTGAGTAGCCTCTTCTTTTCTCTGCAAACACCAGGACTAATTACATATAAACACAGAGCAATGGTGTAAAAATGGACATTTATTACAACTAAACCAATGTGACAGACAGAGGTCAAACAGTTTGTCACAATCACAAGAAAGCTTAATTCAGCCAAGCACATACAAGTGACAGTGTAAACTTTAAAAACATGTTTAATACATATAAAATTGCTTCTGGTTTGAAGTAAAGTTACCTTAATTTAAGTCAATCTCACACACAGGGTCATTCCACTGCGATTTCACCCTCATCTATTCCTGCCCACTGTGCACTGGGGAGATGCCCTGGGACAAAAGTCTCCTGCAATCTGGAATCTCTAAGTGTAAATCCTACAACGGGCATACGCAGACAACTTCTAATGCCCCGAGTTCACGGGCACCAGCCCGGTACTGCCACGGGAGCAGCACACACAGGCCTGCCCCGGCTGGCCTTTCTGTTGCCACAAGCATTTATGCTGGGATCTGGATCAGGGGCCTTGAAAGTGGCAACACTGCACTTTTCCTGCTGGCGCCACTTAACTGTGATCCCATCGAGCCCGCAGCCCAGCTCTCCAGCTGGCCACGAAGTGCTGCTGCCATCAGCACTGCCAGAGCCAAGCTTTGTGAAAATGTGGCACTATGCAGTGAACGAGCCACAACTCCTAGATTCCTGAGGAGGGAGGGGATGATCCCACCTCCACAGGGAGCACGAAGACACACAGCAGAACTTGGCAGCTCCCAAGTGCAGCCCTACGTCCTCAAAACCATACATCAGTGGAATTTCCTCAATCAAAGCAGGTTTAGTTTATAATTACTGAAAGTCTGCTCAAAGTGTCAAAATATTACTGGATATCAGTTTACATTTGCAATGAATATACTATACAAATCTAATACCTAAGAGCTCTCACTGCAAATTAGTTGGTTCAACTGTACATCACGCAGGAATTTCCTAAGGGATGTGCCACGTTTAAGGTGTAAATCAAGAAAAGCAGCTAAATGACACTGACACTTAGTGTGGCCTTTTCTTTTTCCTACAGGTACCTATACACCCATTGAAGCTTAACTATAAAACACCAAAAATACAAGTAATTGGTAAACTTGGAAAGAAAATAATAAAAAGTCCCTTTTGTAAAACTGTCTTCCCCATCTTTGAAAGTATTCGATTTTCATCATGCAAATTCCTCTATTCAGTCAGAAAGCTGACCTCCTTTCCTGTGTTCATGGTCAGATAAAGCTAATATCAGACCTAAAAACAGTTTCCTTATTTGAGTTTTTTTTCCTTCTTTCCTCCATGCATTCCCTTTTGAGTATAGTAACTTGTACAGTTTTGCTCAAGGTAGCTACACTAAAATACACCCTCACGTCTAGTGAGCGAATCACTTTGCAGTTTTCTTGCAAAAAGCAGTTATCACCTTAACAGTGTTTACCAGTTTGATATGCAGATCCTGGCAGGATTCTTTGGTATAATGACAAATTCAGTAGTTAACAGATATTTCCATTCTTTATGCAACAACTGAAATAAGCAGAATTATCATAAATGGTGACTAAAACGTAGATGAACAAATTCTTTGGTTGCATAAACACAATTTCCACACTATGACATTTCATTTTTGGAGTTGTCTGTGTAGTTTCTTTTCATTTAGATATGCTATGCTATGTCATAATAATACATTTATTTCCTGAAGTCAAGTTTCCTTATAAAAAACAGTACACTTATCGAAGTCAAACGCAATTTTCCTATAAATGCAGTGAAGGGAGACACTGAGTCAATTTAAATCTAATTCCCTTTCATTATAAATTTTGAACTTCGGTTTCTTGTTCCCTTTTTAAAAAGAAGTATTTTTTCTTGTAGGCCTGAAAGAAGCAGCTTAGTAAAACAGTAATACTGACAAACAGCATCTTACACCATTAGCTAAACATTACAATGATGGCAGTGAACATTTACAGTATGAAACACTGAGATGGCATCAGCTGAAGATTTATGTCAATCCGATTTCTTCAAGTACACTACGAGGGGTCTCTGCTTCCTACGGAGGGAAAATTTGAGACAGTAGTAAATGAACCCTGTGTTTCTATTGAGGAGCACTGAACATGGGTTAGTATGGAAGATGCTGAATTAAAACAGAAAAGCTGAAAGACACGAAAACATACAAGGACTGCTATTTGCAAACACGGTATTAGCTGCACTTTTCACAGAGCTGTTAATTAGATTGTCATGGTTCACAGGAATAGCTGGTAGATTTTATTGCCCTTAAGAGCAATAAAAATAAAACAATTCAGATGTACCAGCAGGGAACAAATCACAACCAAGTAAAAGAGAAAGGAATTGGGGAGGGATGGGGAAGCATCTTGCAATGGAGTCAGTGATTTTTGTGGTGAATTGTTTCACAGGTCTCAAAAATCTGTTAGGGAATAATGAATAAATGTATGAATGAAACTACTGATGCAACTAAGACACAGTATCCCTTAAGCTCTTTTATAAAGAGTCTGGGTTTTTTACAGTGATCCCATGCTTAATTCATAAAACCAGGTCAAGGTACCTTGGTATGCCTGGTGTCAAATAAATTCACCCCTTTTAGAAGCAGAGGAATTTCTAAGTCAGGAATTTTATTATTCCACACCAGGCATAAAGTTTTAGGTTAATTCTATGTTAAAAAGCTTTCTTTAGATTCAGAGCAAGTTGTTTAATACCAAATTCCAAAGGGTTATCATCAGTTTTATATTCATTATTTCCATAGTATCTCAACAGAAATTGTTTACACTAGGAACATTAGGGTGACCTTTTCCATAATTACTAACAATGTCATAGTAAATACAAGGGGATACTGTGTCCGTATGGAAACAAGCAGTTTCAATAACAAGAGTATGAATAACTTACTTTAGCATCCTAAAACAAGACATGTCATGCAGCAGAAAAAAAGGTAGATAACAGTTAAGGCAGCCAACAAATTATTTTTCAACTCTTTGTAAATATTTATTAGAAAAAAGTTGTCAGTAAAATACATAATGAAACACTTCAAACCTTGCAAATAACATCTGAACATTGTCTCTCTCTCAACCTTGACTATGTAGCACAAAATGATCAAGTTTAGTATCCTTATTCAGCTCATGTATAAGGTGATTCAGCGGAGAAGGAACAAGCTCTGATACTTTAAAGGCAACTTCATTTAAAAGTCAGTCAGAGCTTGGAACAGGCCTCCTCCGAACACTTTTAGATGGCTTCCAAAATCCAGCAACAAGTAAGAAATTGCAAGAAAAAGGCAAGTTAAATCTGGAAACAAGATACTTGGTGTATTAAAGATGTAGTGATGGCTTGTTTTTTTTTTTCCCTTCACTGATGCAATATTTAAATATTCTTAGAACTGCAGTGACCTTGATAAAGCCAGACAGGATAGCAGGATTAAAGATTTACATGTGTATTTTAACACAAATCCCCCAAAAGGAGACACTGATTGAAGAAATGGCTATGTAGCATTTTCAATATAACTTGTTCTATTATATTCCCAGATTACTTTGTTGCATTCATTTTAGACCAACCTAACGGTTTTACTCAAGAAATCCTACATTGCTAACTAACTATGGCAACAGAACTCAGGATATTCTAACAGAACACACCTTCTCAAGCATTTTAGGGTCTTGAAAATATTTGTAATAGATCCACTTTTCAGTTTTAAATTGATTAGACAGCAGTGGATGCTTCAGAGTTACTGAGGAGTGAAACGGTATTTACAAAATTGCCTCAAAACAAATTTCTCAATAGCTATGAAGAAACACAGAGCATTGCTGCTGCTGTCTTTAGAGCAGTTTAGTATTGTTGTCTCCACTGCCAATTCAAAGTCATAGGTGATTTTCAGCAGGCATATACTGAAATGACTAAATTTCTTCAAGTAAATCAAGGTCATTGGCTAAAAATTGAAAGCAACCTATTTCAAGGACATTGGCTACTTGTCCGCAGATATCTCACCCATAAACCACAGTAATATTTCAATTTTTTTAATACTACAGCAGTAACCTTGAGGCAGTCATGCCTTCTTATAGGCTCATCAACAATATAATCTCAAGGAACACCTAAAGGGTAATGTGTTTTGCTAGAGGAATAATTTCATCAATTATGACTTTTAAGAAACAAACAGAATGAATTATGTTTTGTTCACATTATTTGTTTTAGTAAGTGTCAAACATTTCATCCAATTCTTATGGAAACTGTTCTGCAGTATTATACACTACCTGCAGCTCAGAATCACCCAAGGCGAACAATGCAAATTTGAAACATCAGAACACAGATGAGGAAAAAAGTCATTCACATGAGACAAAAGTGCATGCAATACTTTATTTCAAACATGCCAGAAAAGCCAATTCATTACCTAGTCATTTAGAAGCAAGCAGCTGTATACAGATAACAAGAAAAACAGCATCTCATTACAGCTCAATGCACAGCATTTTAAGCCAACAGGCATGAAATAATGCAGGCTAAAGCAGCATTAACCAGACATCCAAACACATTGTTAATGGCTTACAGAAAAAAAGGCAAACTTGGAAATGGAAAACCACTTCTATGATCTTGTTTTCTAAGATTCCAGAATGCTGCAAATCCAATCCAAATCTTTTGTCTAATCCCCTAAATCTCCCATTTTTATGTCAGTCTAACATTTGGAAGGTAGTGCATTACCACATATAGAACTACTGTTCGTGGTTAATCTCAGTAACCACTTCCTTGTTAATTACACTAAAACGATTTTCAAAACCAGCATTGGTTTTAGGTTACAAATAGAGGATGCAATACATGCCCTCTCACTTTGCCCACTTTTCAGTGGAATGCACTTATGTGCAGTGGCAGTTCTCAGATACACAAGGCAGCCTGCACTTAAATCTGGAAATGCCAATTTAAGAAGATATATTTCAAGTATACTGTTAATGGACTTAGATCTTTCCAACCCTAACCATTAATGGTTGGACTCAGTGATCTTAGAGGTCTTTTCCAACTATGATGATTCTATGATTCTAGTATTCATTTGTAAAGCAATGATCTTATTCTCACCTTCAGTGGCAGCAACCGTTCAACTACTCACAAGAGTGTTTTGAACATTTAAATACAAATGTTCTAGCTTCAAATTTATCTAAGTCATTCTCTTTGACCTAATCAATTCTGCCTTTCTCCTCTTTGTAAAGTCAGTCACACTATTGTGCCAGTCTTCGGAAAAGAGAATTGGTATTTGCATCTTTGCAATAATGGTCTGTGTAGAACTGTGGATAACACCATCTAATACTTGTGTGTATAGACATTTCACATGATACTGCTCCTTCACTGGTTTCTCTGTTAAGTATGAACCTCACCTACAGGTTTTAAGTGTATGTTTAAATACCACCACAACCTATCTGAAAGATAAACACAGGTTGAGTAATGTTAAAGTAAGGTGTTACAGTGTATAGGTGTTTAGCTCAGAAAATGCTACAGAACTTTTAAGCATAAGACTTCAAGCTTACACACAATAAAAAAGTTAAACCATATGCCAACAAGCACAAGTTTTGTTGAAATGAGACATGAAGAGACAACACTGTAAAACAGAGGGGGAAGAGGAAAGTACAACAGCAGAGAATGGTTGTGGCATTCTATTAGATTCAAGATGACTGGATTCAGCAAGCTGATGATAATGTTCTGTCATGAGTAAGTCACAGGTCTATCTCCTCTGAAACTCTGCATGCATGATGAATGAAGCCATTTAGTACACTGGTACATTAAAGTATTCATGTCGTGGCTACAAAAGAAACGTACATATTCTTATACATAAGAAAACGGTGAAGAGATATGCAAGAAAACAAAAGTATTATCTCATTATTGTATCTCTGACATTAAAAGGACATTTGATACAGAAATACAATATTGCATTTTTGGCTGCTCTAAATTTCCTGAGGGGAGAACCATCATTTTACCCCCCTCTAATTGGCATACTGGGTCCAACAACGCACAGAACAAGTTCACATCATAGTTACTGTATAACATAAGCTCAGAGTTTCTTCTCAGCCCAAAAATGTTTGAAGCGGAGAAACTGCTCAAGAGATGGATCACTCTCTCTATTATTTGCACAATTCTTGTCTCTATGGAGACATCAACTGTTGGCCTCTGTCAGAGACGGGCACTGGGCTAAGTGACATCTGACATCACCCATCACAGCCGCACCAATAAACCCACCTTTAGAGGCACCAGGCCTCTCAAACACTGCTGTGAGCAGCGCTATGCCAGGGCAGCACAGCTGTGGCACTACTGGTGACAAAAATTACATTTTATAGAAACAGTGTCTGTTTTAAAAATGGGAGGTGTCTGATACACCTCTCACAGAAGGCAAAGTTTTCTTTGCTTTTGAATTATGCCGCTGAATTCAATACACTCTTGTATGATTAGCATACAACGTTAGTACACAATCTGGTGAAAGATGAGCTAGAAATAAAGCAACACTCAGTTTTCTGTATTAAAAATCAGTGCCCTGAAGACAGATGAGGACATTTTTAATGCAGTAATAGCAATTTAGGAGTATCAGCCCACTCAGCTCTCTCATATTAGTTACCATCTTTCATGTGCCCATTATAATCTTCAATCTATTTCAGTATTCCACTCCTTAGAATTACAGAAGTCTTACAACAGAACTGAGAAAGTTCCCATAACTTCTAAACCTCTCTCCTCTGTTTATTCACATGTCAGTTTATTCACATGTTCAAGCTTGTGTATTTTTAAATTCTAATCTCAAATTACAAAAAAGAGCACAACAAAAATATCCTAGGACTTTTACAATACTTATACTGTTTTTCAGTATCAGTAATCCGAAGATTATCCCACAGTAGTTAGAATTATTCTGACCAAACTAACTACAAATCCAGTAGTTCAAAAAATAACAGCACCTATATAACTCATATAACTCAGTGACAGTTGCAAATAACTTCTAGTCTGCTGTGATTTTTGGTAGAATTCAAAAGAATCTGGTATATAATACAGAATTACAAACGTGAATTTTAACTCTTAAAACCTCTCATACTGCACAAGTCAGAATTGTCAGCCCACATTAAAAACAAAATGCTGAGCCATATTCCTAACTGGAAAAGGAATTGCATGACAATAGTGTACTCCTCAAGGAGTAGAAGTTTTGACTAAAACCAAGAAAGTACTAACTTTAGGACTCCTGGAGCCTCCATAGACAACAGACTCCCAGAGAGATTCTTACAGAAAACTTTGCTTTACAGAAACACTGCTTTACTTACATTGCTGGCATGATATAGATCCATGAAGACAACTGAAAAACAGGCATATTGTAACAATCTAAAATGCCCAATTTTTACCTGGAAATATATGTACACATGTGATTCCCTTCCTCCTTGAAAATAACACTTATGTCTTCCAGTGTTTCGCCCTTGGAAACCTGGAGCCATCAGTGTCTTCACTGAAATGCCTCTCAAATCTCAGAACACATTTAATTTTACATTAGTTCTCTGGACAGAAAGAAGAAGGAGAGCAGTTCATTTTCTAGCAGTCTTATGAGGCTGATTATAATTCTCTGCTGTTGTGTTCAAAGATTATCCCAGGCTGCACACATTCTTTAGCACACTCTTTGGCCCAGAAACAGTGATCATGTCCCCTTTTACATAACTGGTATCAACTAATAAGGACATGGAAGTGTTCATTTCATGTTTATCTACTTGTTACCTTTTCAGTACTTTCCAAAATTCTACTTTCCCACATAGTCCTGGGGTATTCCCCACCCTGTTTGTATTTTCAGTGGTTTATAACTTGAGGAATTCACTGTCTTTGCCATGAAAAACATGGTACAGAAAATTATATGATTGACTCAAGTCACTATGAAATTAGTGCCTCAACTTGACAGAAACTTCTTATCTACTGATAAAGCAAGATAGACTGTCAGATAACAACAGGACAAAAGTGGTTATTTGGCTCCTGGCAACTTTTTAGTTTACAGGACATGTAAACACCACCTGCAACTAGACTAGATAAACAAACTTTGTAGAGGTGAAGCTAAAGGATTAAATGGAAGGCAACAAATAACAGAGATACGAAGGATAACACAGCAACAATGAGAAGGAAAACACTGCAGTTTCAGGGAGACCTCTGTACCCCACCAAGGACGTCTGGGACCATTCCACACAGAGGGCCTGGTACTATGGGCAGCCTGACAAACAACTGAAAGAAAAATAAAGTTTAGACAAATTGTTTGCCATCAGAGAACTAGTTTCAAGTTTCAACTGACATTTTCCTTTTTTTGCTGTTCCCTGCTACACTGTCTCCAGAGCAGCTGGCCTGCTGGTCTGAATACCAGAACAGACAAAGTGGGTAAGGGACAAATGTCAAATTCCACAACCAGTACCTATGCTACCTTGCCTTCCTTTGGTGGGACTGTGCAGACCTCAGGGATATGCTTCACAGGCTCAGATGTTGTCTAAGATAACAATCTAGATCTAATGAGTTAATAAATTAGTTGAAGAGGCAATGGTGTCCTTACAGCACAATACACACTGGCAAACTAACATGAAATATTACCCTGAAAAATCATCGCTTATTTAAAAATGTGAATGTAAACTGTTTATCTGACTTTAAAACATAGGTCTTAAATCCCAGTTCTGCCAAAGCAGTAACAGCTCTACAATACAGGCTGCACATTGCAATTCCTCAGTTTAAAGTTACTAGAATTCATCTTTTTCAAACTGACATCTGTGTTTACAACTCATTTTAAAAAGCTAATAATACTCTCTGAAATTGTCAGCCTGAGTCATTAGAGGTTTTTAAATTAGAAAAATGGTAGAGTTGATTTGAGTAAACAGAACTATTCAGTCAGTCCAACTCAACTGATATTTTCTCAGCCAACTTTGTCATGACCCAATCTAATTAAAAATCATAACCAAAATCAAATTAGAAGGGGCTTCATTTAATCCAGTCCTCCAAACAGCATACTTATAACTTTCCTGAGAAATAATCTGTTAAAAGCATCCAGTGATGCCTTTTTACTGTGCCTCAGGCAATCTACTTAAATGCTATATTATCATCACTACTGCAAAATTTGCCTAACATCTCTTTTGAAATTATTTTCTTGCTGCAATTTAAGGTATTTTAAGTCTGTAGTGGACAAGAAAACACTTATTTCCTCAGGCAAGAGAGAGATAAATTATTTATGCCTACACCAAACTGTCTTAGGTTCAGTGTTTTGCAGTGCTGCCATTTTAGTGACAATATCTCATGGCAGTGAGACTTCATGAATACTTGGCATAACTTCTTTTTCAGGAATATTTGCTTAGGTTATTGTTTTAACTTATTTCCCATTAAACCCAGGACAAAGCCTATGAAGGCAAGCCATGTTAAACTGCAGGAAAAAATTTTAACTGCTACCTTTCGATAAAGACCTGGCTTCCCCCCTCACCCCAGCATTTAAAAAAAAAAAAAAAGCAAGAACAAGAAGATGCAGGACCATGGAGCATATGGAAGTTTTTGAAGAATTCTACAGGAACAGGCTGTGGGAAAGTGGGGGGGATGAGGGCTTCTATTCAGAAACATGAAGTTCTTACAGCAGGAAAAGATTAACATTTAACAAGCCCTTCTTTAGCAATGCTGCAGAAGCACTTACTTTTACACTCTACTTCTGAATCTTTTTTAGGAAATATTTCTAATGAAAGGCTGCTTTAGGAAATTGCTGCTGTTTACTTGCCCTTCCAAGAATTTCAAAACAGTGCAGTATCTGTTTCCTAATCTGTGGTCAGCCAGCTATTTAATAACTCCAATTAGATAGAAGGGTTTGGGTTGGAAGGGATCTTTTAGATCTAGTTCCAAACCTCTTGCCATGGGCAGGGACACCTTCCACTATACCAGGTTGTTTAGTACCTCATCCAGCCTGACCTTGAATACATCCAGGGATGGAACACTGGGAAAATTCTATTTTACTTTTAAAGGAGAACAAAGTGTTTTCTCAGAGAACCCAGAAACACCCATAAGGTTTTGAACATCTTCAAAGACAAGTATTAACTATGGTGCTCTTCAAAAACAAAAAATAATCCTATATCAGTAACAACTCCAAATTAAGATCTTGTCTGCAGCTTCCTATACAGACAAAAAAAATAAAAACAGCTTCAAAACTGGTGTAAATTTGTCAACACAATTCTCAACTAGAGTCTTAAACAGCAACAGTTATCACGCAAGTGTTATTCAGCAGAACATCCTAGCATATGCACACCCCTTGGCTCTAAAACATCACCTTAACACACCAGAGCAGATACGACATAAGATCAGCAGTGGCCTTCCTGCCTCCCTGCCAAAAGCAGAAGTAAAAATATCAGTGGAAACTTCATGTACTGTAACTGGATAATAGTGGGTTGGTTCTTCCTGCTTCTGAGCTGCTATTCTGATCTGCTGGATCAGGGGTGATAATCGCCCTGGGAGGCTGTGCTCCGTACGTGCCAGTCAGCTGTGCAGTGAGCTAGGAAGAATCAACAGCCTAACCTTTCAGGACAAGGATGGTTCCCAGAATCCACCAGAGGCTCCTCTCTGCCATCATAAAAACACAAATGCTTTAAGCACATATTGTGGCTGAATACTTTGTATTGTGAAGTTAGACCCACAATCATTAAAGATCACAGAGTTCTCTAGCAGATAATCCCACAGTGTCTCTATGTTTGGCAAACTGCCAAACCACGCACATAAGGATTCAGTAATGTTTGCTTCCAGCACTGCAGATACTGGTTTGCACTATTTAGTCTCCGTTACTTA